CGCAGTCGACGCGTTTCAAGATGCTCAACCCTTTCTTCGGGCAACGAAGAAATCGCGTTGTGAAATCGCAGAACCACGCGATCACGTCTCTACTGAATTGTACAGAATTTGTTGTCTATCGAGTCGACGTTTTATTAAATTGTGCATCCGAATATTATCCTAAACGCATTATCCGATTCCTTGCTGCGAATAAGGACTCCCTGTCTTTCTAGTAAATATTTTCAACGCGACTGAATATCAACCGACGTAAAAATCGTTCGAACGATTTCGTAAAGTTCCGGTCTTGGAGATCAACCAGGTTCCGGATGTCCGACCGAACTGGGACGAGCGCGCAAAAATCTCGGGGATGAAACGCGGAATTCATCGAGAGATGCCTGAAACGTTGAAAATGGAGGCAGCAAACGGCGCGAACTTATGGCTCGGCATAATACGGGATGTCCCAAAATTATTACACGAGCGGGAAACGAGGGGTTCCCGGGGTCATTTGAAGCAACTTTTTCCTCAGCGAAAATGCGATCCGCGGCTTCGTTCGCGAGTTATTAACGAAAAACGTTGACCAATCGGCGAGCGAGTGCGGCCGGCGCTCCGCCCCTACGGCCAATGCCGCGTCGCGTCCCCTATTTAAAATAGAATTATCAAGCTTAACCTTAGGCGATGCCGAAGAGCATTAAATTGTACGGTAAAAGAACGCATACATTTAAAACATTGATTTCTTCCCGTCGAATAATTTGCGGCGGCGACAAATTTCGCGAGATTTCACCAAAAAATTGTCCAAGTAATACGAAACCGTGCGCAGCGCATTTACATGATTTATTTCGATGAATTGCAGAAGATCTGCCGAATCCAAATACGTGGACAATGCCGCCCACTCCGGGCGGAGGACCTCCGCTGCCTTCCGAGGTGAAGGTTGAACTGCAAAACCGAGAGTTATGGCAGCAATTCCATGCCGAGACAACCGAGATGATAATCACGAAGCTGGGCCGGTGAGTGCATCGATCATCGATTTATCATCTTTCGTTCTACAGAGTGTCCTAAAATTATTGCACGAGCGAGAAACGAGGGATTTCTGAGGTGATTTGAAGCAACTTTTTCCTTTGCGAAAATTTTCTCCGAGGCTTCGTTTACGAGTTATCCACGAGAAACAGTGATCAATGAGTGATCGTGCGCGGCCGACGCCCCGCCCTCGCGACCACTGCCACTACGTCAGACGCCCGGCGCGACGCGTCATTGGCCACCTTGGCGGGGCGCCGGCCGCACTCGCTCGCCGATTGGTCAGCGTTTTTCGTGAATAACTCGTAAACGGTGCCTCAGAGAAAATTTTTGTAAAGGAAAAAGTTACTTGAAATCACCCGAGGAACCCGTCCGCGGTATTCATTGAGATCCACAATTAATTAACCGTTCAACTGAATTTTCTCGTAAACTAGAACATTACGTTACTTTTTCATTTTATCATTTATTTAGTTACTTAAACATATTAAAACCGCGCGATTTTTTTGTCGGCATAATCGTATGAAATATTCGTATGTAATACGCTTTGCACGGCTTTGTCGGGGTGGGGCCGGGCCAGCGGACGGGGACCCTTAACGAGGAATGCCCCCGAGCGACGACAGGCCGATTAGTTTCGCAGAAGGTGGTCAACGGAAAGTCGTTAAAAGTATGGCCGTGACGACGTGTCCGCCCGTATCGGCGCCACCGATCTCCCCGGTATCATTTTTTGACGAAAGTTGATTTTGCGGGAAAAGTCGTGCGACCGGACGGATGCAGGACGAATCACTATTTCCGGTGCACCGGAAGCGATCCGGCCACTCTTGTCGCTCTTTTCCAGATAGAACGGCGATAGTGCCTGTATCGCGGTTATATCGTAGCTAAGATTACAGAGAATTTTGCGTTGGAACACAACACGTTCGATAACGCGATGGGCTGATATGTCGATCGAGATGCGAAAGACGCGAAACGCGGAATTTCTCGGGGGGTGGCGTTTGGAGTTCTGCTTCCGATTAGAAGTCGCGCGATCTTAATTTTCGAACTATTCGGTAGTTATTGCTTGAAATTCGCGAAAAAACTGCGATTTTCGCGATCTTTCGCAGTGCGCAACTTTCTTAATGGGACTTTTGCCAAACACGATACAAGTTCTTTTAATAATAATCTAATAAGTCTAATTGGTATAAAAAAAATATAAATTTTATATTAATATTAAGGAATAAATATTATATATATTATAGTAATATTATATAATTATATATATAATATTATCATTAGGCAAAAAATACACGCTTTTATAGCAATTTTCACGCTGGATTTAAACGCGTAGAAACTGATTTCTAAAAAAAATCTTTTGCCTAATAAAAAGAATTATTATTAAATAGATTATTATACTTTAATAATAATTCTTTTTATTAGGCAAAGGATATTGTATATTGTATAATTATATATAGGTTATTATACTTATCTCTTCACTATGGCGCAGTAGTACATACACTGCAAAAAGCTGAAATATTTTCACAGTTATATGATACCCAAGGAACAAGGCCACGGATTATCAGGCTGAGATAATCTTTTCGAAGGAAAACTTTTGGAAATTCTGCCAAAAATATTTCAGCGAACCCTTGCGACGCGACTACACGAGATTCGAAACGTGGCGGCGCGAGAACAATCGTCCAGGTAATTCGAGGGCGGTCCACACCGTTCCGTAACAGTAACAAAGGTGTATGCCCCGTCCCGTAAATTCGTGCCTTCCGGTCCGTAGGCGATTCCTGCGGCTTGCGAACGGCACCACGTGCCAACCACGTGTATACATAGCCCGCCGCGCCGCTTGTTTGCGGCCATGCCGATCTAATCAGTATTCCGTGTCACGATCGACACTTTCGTTCTCCTCGTTCCTCGGAGCCTCTTCCGATGCAGTTTCTCTCTCCTTTCCTATCGGGCCGCTTCCTCCTCGGCTCACTTACCCCCCACGTTCTCGTTCCCAGCGACCTTGCGTCACACCGATGAATGCCCGACGAAAACGTGCGTTCCAGAAGCGCGACACGGACCACCTCGAATCCGCTCGTTCTCTTCTTCACTCTGCTTCCTCTCAGCCCGCCCTCGCACTTCGGGCCTGTCTGTAAGCGGAGCTAATTAATTTCACGTTCCACCGTGATTTTACCGTTACCGATATATGTCCGACTAAACCGATGTACTCGTGAGAAGGAGGTGCATCGAGGGTTGAGAATAGAAATCCTCGTGAAAGGGGCGCCTCCCACCCCTCCGCCCTTGGGAAATTGACGTGTCGAGTTTCTTGTGATGCGAGGCAAAGGATTTCTTCTTTATAATATATGATATGATGTAATATAATATGATATACAATATACAATCTAGAATTTGGAATCTGGAATCTACAATCTACAATCAATAATTCACAATTTACAATCTAGAATCTTGAATACAGAATATAGAATATACAATATACAATATACAATATACAATATACAATATTCAATCTAGAATCTAGAATCTAGAATCTGGAATTTAGAATCTTGAATCTAGAAATCTAGAAATCTGGAATCTAGAATCTAGGATCTAGAATCTAGGATCTAGGATCTTGAATATAGAATCTTGAATATAGAATCTTGAATATAAAATCTTGAATATAAAATCTTGAATATAAAATCTTGAATATAAAATCTTGAATATAGAATCTTGAATATAGAATCTTGAATATAGAATCTTGAATATAGAATCTTGAATATAGAATCTTAAATATAGAATCTTGAATATTGGATATAGAATCTAGAATCTAGGATCTAGGATCTAGGATCCTGAATATTGGATATAAAATCTAGAATCTAGGATCTAGGATCTAGGATCTTGAATATAGAATCTTGAATATAAAATCTTGAATACAGAATATAGAATCTGTCTCTTATACACATCTACAATATTCAATCTAGAATTTAGAATCTAGAAATCTAGAAATCTAGAAATCTAGAAATCTAGAAATCTAGAAATCTAGAAATCTAGAAATCTAGAAATCTAGAAATCTAGAAATCTAGAAATCTAGAAATCTAGAAATCTAGAAATCTAGAAATCTAGAAATCTAGAAATCTAGAAATCTAGAAATCTAGAAATCTAGAAATCTAGAAATCTAGAAATCTAGAAATCTAGAAATCTAGAAATCTAGAAATCTAGAAATCTAGAAATCTAGAAATCTAGAAATCTAGAAATCTAGAAATCTAGAAATCTAGAAATCTAGAAATCTAGAAATCTAGAAATCTAGAAATCTAGAAATCTAGAAATCTAGAAATCTAGAAATCTAGAAATCTAGAAATCTAGAAATCTAGAAATCTAGAAATCTAGAAATCTAGAAATCTGGAATCTAGAATCTAGAACTCTGGAAATCTAGAATATATAATATATAATATAATTATAATTATACGGAGTTTCAAATGGCGTAAGCGTCACATTGAAATGAATACGTAATGACCTGTTCCACATTTATTATTTTAACGCACTTAAACTAACAAACACACCTCTAATTGAATAAATAAATAAATAAAACCAGAATATATTCCACTAAATGCTCTCTTCTCATTCTCGTAAGGCGGCAACGGGTTACGTGCTGCTTACTAATGAGTTACGTACTCTAAAAAAAGAAAAAAAAAAGCGAAAAATGTATTTATAACTACGAGGAGATTCGTGTAGCGTCACAGATTTTGTTTAGAAGGATCTGGCGCGCGGCCACGTGACTTCCGATCGATGTAATCTGCGAGATGAAAGGAAAACGGGGCGCGTGCTGCGGTTGCAGCACGGGGTTTACGGTGTGTATCACGGCTATTACAGCATTATCTGGTGATTCGATAATCTCGAGAGGCTTTTTAAAAGGACCAGACACGCTCGTCGAAATCATTGGCGCGCACGGGCCTTCCAGCAGCCGTCGCGACGGCGCGTAATCCTCCACTTACAGGGGCGCCACTTTTAGTGGATTCAACAACAGAGCCGTGGCGTCGATCTTTCTTCTTTAT